GTACGAACTTCCCTTTATAAAATAATTAAGTCACAGGGATGAAAAGCAGTACAGCATAGGGACTATAGTCAGTACTACTGTAATAACTTCATAAGGTGATAGATGGTAACTACACTTATGGTGAGCATTTTATAATGTATATAATTATGAATCACTATTTTGTATACCTGAAACTAATAAAATACTGTATATCAACTATACTTCAATGAAAATAAAAATCTGAAAAACTCAGTTATTTTTAGAATAATTAAAAATAAAAATATAGGTCATATTTTACTGGAGGTTTTAGAGCAGAGGAATGTCATGGTCCCTTTAAAATGTAACTCTTAGTAAGGGGGAAGCAGAGAGACCACCTGGGAGGCTGTTGCTGTAATCTAATTAAGACATGATAGGGGTGCCTGGGTGGCTCAGTCATTAAGCGTCTGCCTTCGGCTCAGGTCATGATCCCAGGGTCCTGGGATCGAGCCCCGCATCAGGCTCTCTGCTCAGTGGGGAATCTGCTTCTCCCTTTCCTACTCCCACTGCCTGTGTTCCCTCTCTAGCTGTGTCTCTCTCTGTCAAATAAATAAATAAAATCTTAAAAAAAAAAGACATGCTAGTGACTTATTCCAAGGTCACATTAGATAACATAGAAGGAGGGTATTAGGACTTCCAGGAATCTTTTTTGTTTGCTTCAAAATCTCAGTTTTTCATGACAGCTCAAATATTTAGATTTTTTTTTTAATTTAAATTCAATTTAGTTAACATATAGTGTATTAGTTTCAGGAGTAGAATTTAGTGATTCATGGGTTGCATGTAATACCCAGTGCTCATTCCATCAAGTGCCCTCCTTAATGCCCATCACCCAGTTACTCCATCCCCCACCCACCGCCCCTCCAGCAATCCTGTTTGTTCCCTATAGTTAAGAGTCTTTTATGGTTTGCCTCCCCCTCTGTTTTTATCTTATTTTATTTTTCCTTCCCTTCCCCTATGTTCATCTGTTTTGTTTCTTAAATTCCACATATGAGTGAAATCATATGGTATTTGTCTTTCTCTGACTTACTTCACTTAGCATAGTACCCTCTAGTTCCAACCACATCGCAGGAAATGACAAGATTTCATTCATTTTGATGGCTGAGTAATATTCCATACCACATCTTCTTTATCCTATTCATCTGTTGATGGACATCTGGGTTCTTTCTGTATTTTGGCTATTGTGAACATTGATGCTATAAACATTGGGGTGCAGGTGCCCCAAAGCTACTGCAAACTATTTGATAAGATGTTCACACTAGAATACTTTTTTAAAAAGTTAACCAGTGATCTTTATTGACCTCATAGTTAAGCTTGAAATAATCACAGTAATTGTAGTCAGCATCATTATACAAGTAGGACTGCTTAAAAAGTGCATTGTCAGCATTGTAGGGTTTTTTTTTTTAATTTAGGATTATCCACAACATGTTAATCAAAACTGATGTACCAGTCTACCTTTTTTGTTGGCATTTCATTGTTGGTAGATTATTAGGTCACTTCCTGGAAATTCATCATGTTCTATTTAAAGAATATCAACCAAGTTGGGGCACCTGGCTGGCTCAGTTGGTAGAACATGCAACTCTTGATCTCAGGGTCCTGAGTTTAAGCCCCACATGGAGCATAAAGCTTACTTAAACAAACAAACAAACAAAAGACGACTGTCAACCAAGTTACGTGCATGGGTTATTCCACCAAAATTGTGTTCCTGAATTCTAGATTATGTTCTCTTTATAGAATACAGGAACTTTCAGTAATAAATGTTTGACTTTAAACAGTGTATCTATTGTATTTCCTTGTAGTGATCCTGAATAAAAGCATGCTCTAATTTACCTTAGTTTAAACTTTCCACTCTCGTAAAAACTGGAAACCCTACTTTTATTATCAACTTTTTCTTTTTTTAATTCCAGTCTTAGTCTTCTGTCCCTTGTGTATTTTTTTTAATTTTATTTATTTATTTATTTGACAGAGAAAGAGAGTACAAACAGGGAAGTGGGGGAGGGAGAAGCAGGCTCCCTGCCAAGCAGAGAGCCTGACATGGACCCTAAGATCGTGACCTGAGCCGAAGGCAGATGTTTAACTGAGCCACCCAGGCACCCCCTCAACTTTTTCTTTTTAATTCAATATTTATTTGGTTTAATACGCTTTTTAAAACTCTTTTTTGCAAATTTCCATATGTATTATCACTACTCAAAAGTAGAAAGCACAATGACCTCATGTGTACCTAGCCCCCAGTTTTATCAGCTTCCTGCCATACTTCAAAAAAGTAATCTATAATCTTTTTGCTGAAATATTTTAATCAAATTTTGATATGTGCTGTTATTCATCCCCAAGTATTTGTGTGTATCTTAAAACCAAATTAAAGACGGATGTTTTCTTAAGTAACCACAATATAATATCACATCTATCATGATTAACAACAATTCCTTAATATCATTTAATACCCAGTCCATATTCACATTTTCCTCAAATCTGAAAACATTCTTTCTGTATTTTCAGGTAATTTGATCCAGATCGAAAATTGGCCCACTCACTGTGTGTAGTTTTGTTACCTTATATCTCTCTTAACCAGAAACAGGTGGTCTGTCATCCCCCCCTTTTTGTTGCATGCCTTTCTCTTGTAAAAACAAAAACAAAAACAAAACACAAAAAACCTGGTCAGTTGTCCTGTAGTATGCATGGGTTTGTTTCATTTGTTCCTCCAGAGTTATTATAGATCAGAAGTTAGAGCAAAGCCTTCTTAAACTCAGGTTTAGTTACTTTTTTGGTGTTACTATTTCCTATAGTATTAAATGAGAAGGCTTATAATGTTTGTTAAACCTTTAGTTGATTGATCAATAGGTTTAGGTGATCTCGATCTTAGCTTTTCATCGTAGGGTTTCCTGTCAGTCTTCTCTGTGGGATGCTAAAACCATTGATGACTATTGCCTGGATCCAATTATTTTTTTTAAGATTTTATTTATTGAAGAGAGCGAGCTCACGAGCGGGGGGCGGGGGAGAGGCAGAGGGAGAGGGAGAAGCAGGCTCTCCGCTGAGCAGGGAGCCTGATGCGGGGCTCAATCCTAGGGTCCCAGGATCATGACCTGAGCCGAAGGCAGATGCTTTCCCAACTGAGCCACCCAGGTGCCCCAGGATCCAATTATTTTATTAGGGGTTGCAAAATGATCATTTTCTAACCATGTCACTACCTCTGCATATGTTAATGGATGTTAACAGAACTCCTCTTGTATACCAGAGCTGTTTGGTTAACTTGGAATATGCTTCATAACAGAAAAGCAGAATAAATGAAGGGAAAATAATTATCGGTTTTCACAGTAATGAATTGATGCATTAGCAACCTACATTGGCGTCCAGTGAATTTTGTTTCTCTCTTCTAAATATCATTTTGAGCTCATGACTTTTTATATATTCAGTATGTTTTAATAAATTGCAGTCATTATTCCTTCTGATGTCAGTGTCTCATCTTTGGCCATTGGGAGCCCCTTCAGGCTGGCTCCTGTGTCCTTTTGGTACAACTGTATTGGCCTTTGATAGCCTCCTTGCTTTTTGGCTCAACAAGATATTCCAGGTTAATCTTACCCATTTCTTGCCCCAGACAGAGAATCATGCATTTTTCTGAGAAAATGTTCCCTGGTTATCTTCTTTATATAGCACCTGTCTTGATCTGTACACTGTGATCCTGAAAAACTCATACTTTGTTCTCTGTATCTCATTGTACAGTTTACTGTTATGTGTCATGCCTTTTCTGCGTTTGTTGTTTATATTAAATCACAGGCCCTCAGGTCTTTTGGTGCCCAGTGTAGCATGGTCTTCTCCCTTGTTCTTGTGTCTTGTCATACAGCACATGCCTACATTCACCTTAGTACTTCATTACTTAGTACTTCTTAGTCTCTGTTGCTCCATGTTTGTTTAATGGGTTTATGTCTTTTTTCAAGAAATTTATAATTTTCTACAGGTTAGGACATATCCATTACTTTATAAGTTAAAAAGAAAATCTATTAAGGAATATAGTGATAGCTGAATAACTAGTAATTGAAGTGAAGGACATATTTTGCTTGGCTGACTTATGGCCACGTTTGCCAACAATTTGACGCCAGTAGTGCCAATGCTGTATTTAAATCCAAGCCAAACTTAATCATAAGTCTTTACACTTGAATTTCAAGTACAGGGGGTTTAAAAGTATTCAAATTAATATATGGGAAAGGAGGAACAAATATTCTATTTAGAGAATGAAAACTTGGTCTTTGGTTCTAGAATGTAGTTTTAAGGCACACTCAAGAAAACTACTTTCAGATGGTCATTACTTCTGGTGCCTGGCTTCAATTCCTGCTTGGCTTAGCTTCATTATTGGTGGCCCAGAACTTGGCTGATAAGTAGGAGAATTGGAAGCAAGACTGGCTGCCTGGCAAAACCTACTTGGGGTGACTTGAATTGCTTTTGATCTTATTTGTCATCTTATCAACTATTTTTTTGTACTGCTAAATGAGTCAACTTTTTATGGTTTTTAACAAATGAAAACCAGAAAAGTCAGACTATTTCTAACACTTAAAAATGTGACCGTAGTCCTGTAATAACACTGAAGCTACCCATCATAATAAGATGAGACTGTGTTAATTTGTTTTATGATTACAGTTGGAAGAAGTAGCTAAGGTGATGTGTCTCATCTGTCTACTACTTCTTCTCTTACCCCCCAAGGAAGAGGCTGGAGATTCTTTACAATATAAAGAATAAAAAGATAAATTTTAAAGTAGATTTGGGGGCACCTGGGTGGCTCAGTCAGTTAAGCATCCGACTCTTGATTTCAGCTCAGGTCATGATCTCAGGGTCGTGAGATCGAGCCCCGTGTCAGGCTCGGTGCTGGGTGTGGAGCCTGCTTAAGATTCTCCCTCTCCTTCTGCCCCTTCCCCACACTTCCTCTAAATAAATAAATAGATAAATAAATAAATGATTTGTATTCATATTCAGACAACACTTCTTGTGTTTGGTTATAGGTCCTGTTATTGCCTTGGAGTTTAATGGAGATGGAGCTGTAGAAGGATGCCAGCTTATTGTCAATGAGATATTCAATGGGACCAAGGTACAAGATTTTATTATTTCTATCTCAGTCAGACCTTTCATGTCATTTCCTTTTCCTTACAATTAAATAGTACTTTTATCCCCGTTGTTGCTTGGAATTAAAAAAAAAAAAAACAGACCATGATTTTTAGAATCTATGGTAAACAATTGGGAGCTAAGCTTTGGTTTTTCCTTGCCAAATTAAAATTTTAACTGCTTAAAAATTTACAAAATAAGAATCTACTAATTTAAAGATTTTTTTAAATTTTTTTGTCAGAGAGAGAGAGCACAAGCAGGGGGAATGGCAAGCAGAAGGAGAAGCAGGCTTCCCCGCTAAGCAAGGAGCCCAGTGTCGGGCTCAATCCCAGGACCCTGGGATCATGACCTGAGCCGAAGGCAGACACTTAACCAACTGAGCCACCCCAGGCGTCCCAAGAATCTACTAATTTAAAAACCATCAATAATACATGAGTTTCTAAAGTAAAAAGTCTCATTAAATGTCTCTTTAAGGCCTTCCTTTTTTGAAAACTAGTGATATGTTGAAAAGTGTTCTAAGATTATATACTTTAGATGGATGATCCTGTTGCCCACTGTTCATTTTTATTTGTTTCAGTAATGCTTCATCAGACATTGAATTTGGGGGGCACCTGGGTGGCTGAGCCGGTTAAGTGTCCAGTTCTTGATCTCGGTTCAGGTCTTGATCTCACGGTGGTGGGTTCGAGCCCAGCACAGAGCCCATTAAAAAAAAAAAACAAAAACACAATGAATTTGAGCTATATCTAGAAGTCGTTACATGTAGGTAGTTTCTAGATATGTTGATGAGGTTGGTGTATCTAAGAATTTCAGAGTTAATATAACTTAAAAACCAAACATATAAGAGTACTAAATGAGTATAGATATAACTAATAATTTTTTGATAAATATCTGAGATAAAATTTTTGGTTTTGTTGTCTGATTTGGCTAATAGTTTCTTGAATTTGCATAATTTACTTTGTCTTTTGTCTCATTTTACCATCACAACAGTACTAAGGGGAAGGGCAAATATGATTAGGTTGAATAGAAAAGGAAGCAAAGAGAAAATGGTTATATGATTTGGAGGTTTTAGATCTGAATGAGGAGTCAAAGATTATCTAATTCCAGTGTTCTCATTTTGCAGGTGTGGAAAGTGAGCCCACAGAGATTTATTGAATGAATTGTCAGCATCATACAGCTAGTTTATGATAAAGCTAGAATAGAGCCCAAGTCTCCTCTAATTCCTGGCTGACATTTGTAAAAACGATTTTTGGAGGGTTCTACCGAGTACTGCTTTACTTCTGTTTAGCAGATAGTTCATTTAAAATGAGTAATATATCTTTAGCAGCTTTAAAAATGATAATCTCAAGTCTTGCTTCTCAGCCTATTGAGATTGTTATTAGGAAATAGAAGAAACTAAGAATTCTTTAAATAAACCTCTATTCAGTAAGTAGCTTTCATAATATTGACTCTTGTATATTTAAAAAACAGTAAAATTCCAAGTGTGATAAAGTACAACTGAAGTATTATGAAAGCGAAGACCTTAATTATATCATAAGTGCTTTTAAAAGAGCTCAATTTACATTATAGCTATTGAAACTATATTGTATGGATTCTCCAGAATACTGATTAAATATTATATAAATGGTGTACTTGAATTTCTTCTAATAGCAAGCTTGTGACTGTTCTATAGACAACATGGGCTTTGGAATTTGGGGATTACTGGTATTTATTTTTTGCTTCTTCTATATTTAAAATAGATGTTTGTATCAGAAAGCAAGGAGACAGCATCTGGAGATGTAGACAGCTTCTACAACTTTGCTGACATACAGATGGGAATATGAAGTGCAATGTGGAACCAAGGACTTGGTATTAAGCCCTTTTTAATTTGTGTATTAGCAACGGTTTTTACTAATGATAAAACTGTTAATGTTTATTTTTTAGTAAACTGTTGAATACTGCATCATTTACTTCAGGTTCAAAATTAGTTTGTTTTGGGGCATCTGGTTGGCTCAGTCGGTAGAGCATAGGACTCTTGATCTCAGGGTTGGGAGTTCAAGCCCTGTGTTGGGCATGGAGCCTACAAAAAAAAGAAAAAAAAAGTTCATTTTAAATTCAGTAGTTTTAATCAGCTTAAAAACTATTTAACCTACTTCAATAAGGTTGTGGTTTTGTTTCTCTGCTTATGATACCGTTATTAGAACACAGAAGTGGCTAGCAGTTCATGATTTTAATCATAATTAAATATCCTTTCAAATCTCTAAGAATTTAAACTTTCCTCAGTGCTCCATATTGTTTGAGAATACATTCCATTGCTTCTTTTCTTTTTTAATTTAGAGATTCATTACTAGTCGATCGATTAGAATGAACCTCTGCACATTTTTTTCATGTATACATAGCCAGTTAAATAATTGCTTAATGTGGCAAGTGAGATTTTGTACGCAGAATTGATATAGTACTTTGTAAATTGCATTTTTCTTAATTAATAGGGATTTGATAACCAGTTTTGCAGTTAACTCTACTAACTGATGTTGGTGTAGCTGTTTCAAGACTACATTGTGAGTAGTAGGATTATGTGAATAAATTCTACACCGTTTAGTTTTTGAACGCAACTGCTAGGTGACCCTTGTACTTCCTGGTAAGGAAAGGCATATGCAAGGCCAAGGCTAAATGTATAGAAGCCCGACCACCAGCAGCTTTCCAAAAGGTGAGATCACTAGCTCTTGTGGTTTATCAGGAGAATTGGAACAAAATCTTGTGACATTTAGGTATGAAATGCTTAACCATGATGATAAGCTATGCAGATTATTAAAAAAAAAAAAAAACTAGAGAGATTTGATTTTCATCAGATACACCTAATTTATCAAGCAGTGTTCAAGCATGATGAAACTGTTTTTGGCTGCTTTAAGCATTATTTCCCAAATCAACCTGACTGTAATTATTTACCAGGAGGCAGGGGAGAGCTACTTGTTTAAAAATCCACATCCTTGGACCCAGGCCCCAGATACGCTGCCTCATTCTCCAGGGGAAAGCCGGTTGTGAGGAGTTTGTTGCAAGCTAAAGTAATCAGTTCAGAAGATGTTGATTGGGTGATCTGGAGAGAAGGGACTGAACCTTCCATGTACATCGTATATAGCAGCTAATAGGAAATTAGCTTTCATAGGTCTATTTTTAAAAGGAACCTAAAATTTAAATCTATTTTGGTAAAACCAAGACTGAAAATAGCCACTTATAAAAATCCCTCTTATGTTTTTACTAAAAATGTATTTTCATGTGTATAAACTGCTTTTGAATATATCAGATTAATTTATAACTACTATATTGAACTGTGTGTTGATGTTCCAAAATAATACATTCAAAGACTTTTCACTTTAATAAGTAAAATTGACTACCTACCCTGTGTCTGGCCTCGTGCTAACCATTAGCATTGTATTATTTCAGTCTTTTGTAAGAGCATTCTATACTACATTCTCAACCTCTTCTTTAAATCAGAATGATTTCATGAGATGCAAATAAAACTTGGTGACAGGTTTAACATAATCATAATCATAATTTACAAATAAGCTTTGTAATTAGTGGTCAGAGGGCATTGATTTTTCCCACGGTTAAGCTAAATTAAGCTTATTCTTCTGATTGTGATTACATTATTAAATCCCATTATTCACACTTAAAGTAATTATAGTACCTTTTGGTTTTTAAAAATAAATACGTTACACAAAGCTGTAGACTGAGTTCTTTATTTTATCTATAGTATTTTAGCAAAAAACTCAGGAATATAACATATAAGGGAGATGTTAATTTTAAAATACCCACTAAATTTAGTATCTATTAACCAAAGCCTAAAATTTTACATTCTTCAGTTGGATAAGAGCTTTTACCCAAGCTTAAATTGTCTTTAAGGACAGTCATTTGGCCTCTGAATGTTTGAAAAGATTTTTAAAAATAAGTAGTGCTATGGTTGTTGTTTCTATAATAACAAATGTTGATAGTAATTATACTGCATTTCATTTTTAATAGCCTTTTAACTCATGACCATTTATTAGCAAGGAAAAATTAGTAATTTTATTAAGTTATACATGTTTAAACATTATATTAGCTTATTTCTCTTGTGTTATTAGTACTGCTGTTTTTGCTTCTGTATATTTCTGTCTAGCTTTTGTATGTAATTTATATCTAGTGTTTATAAAACGTGATTTGTAATAAATGTCGTTAAAACGAAAATGGCTGGGGCGCCTGGCTGGCTCAGTCGGTAGAACATGCGACTCTTGATCTCAGCATCGTGAGTTCAAGCCCCACGCTGAGGGGGGTAGAGTTACTTTAAAAAATAAAATAAAATGAAAATGGCTTAACACTAATTTTTGAGGTGCGCTTCTATAACATACAGCTACTCATATATGTGCCAAGATTTGATCATGGCACAAATTTTTTAATGATAAAAGTAAAGTAGATGGTTCTAATCTCTGTCTTATGTTAATGAGACGTGAGCTGTGTGCCTTGTGTGTGTGTCTGTGTGTGTCTGTGTACAAAGCACTCTAGAGAAATGCAAAGGAAGCAGAAAACTTGTTTATATCTTAGGAATTTCCAACATAATGCTTCCTTTGTTGAAAGATACATTTTATTATGATTGAATACTAAGATTAGGCATTTCTCTCTTCCATATTTAAGAAAATAATGAATTGTTTATGGTATAATTTCTTGCAGGTTTATACAAATGGACCTTATTTACCAAATTAACCAGCCATTTGTACTCAACCTCTCCCTCTCCTAGCTCATAAATCAGAAGTACTGAAACTGCAGATTGGTTAGTTTTTTCAATAAGATCAGAAATACTGAAACTACAGATCGGTTAGTTTTTAAATAACATTCGTTATTTTTTCTATGTATGAAGCATCTCCATGTACGTTTAGACCATGAAGGGGAAATAGAAAGGTACAAGACAATTGAAAAATTACTTCCTGGGCACCTGGGTGGCTTAGTTGGTTAAGTGTCTGCCTTCGGTTCGGGTCATGATCCCGGGGTCCTGGGATTGAGTCCCACATCAGGCTCCCTGCTCAGCGGGGAGCCTGCTTCTCCCTCTGCCTCTGCCTCTCTCTCTCTCAGTCTCTCATGAATAAATAAATAAAATCTGTAAAAAAAAAAAAAAAAGAAAAATTACTTCCTATTTATTGGATAGTTCTTGCTGTGTCAAGTTTAAAATTTATTTTTCTCATTTAAAAGCGACATATTTAACTTTGTTCTCTATAGAAAGAAATGATATTATAATTAGGGTATGATTACTCCTTCAAAATCCATTCTAGAAAATACTTTATCCTTTAAAAGCCTAACACTAAAAAATTTGAATTTTAGGAATGAAAACCTTTCTTTTTTTCTTTTCTTTTTTTTTTTGCAAAAATGGAATAATTCACTGTTGACTTGGTTTTCTTTTTTGGTAGATAGTGTTGGAGGGCAATCAGTCCTACACAGGAGGGAAAGCAGTAAGCCCTTAAACCACATCTTTCTCTTTTGACATTACGGCTTTTAGTGGCAAACTCCAGCAAGATGTTCCAAAAAGCAGTCTCTCCCTTTTCTAGTATTTGGGGCTTTCCTGGGGAGGGTGGGTTCTCACCTACAAATAGATGGTGGGAGAACAGGAGCACAGGTGGGCGAGAGCCCTGGCATGGTCAGCTGGGCTCTGATCCTCGTCAGGGGGGCCTGGTGCCCCCAATTTCAGTTTAATCTGGTCCACTTGTAATTATCCTAATGAAAAGTAACTGGCCTATATGACAAGTAATGAAATGATGTTTATAAAGTATACCTTGAAAATACACTTTATGAATGTTAAGTATTCATAAAGTGAGTATGGTGTTCTTTTTAAGGAGTTCAGCTGGGGAGCCGTACACCCACCTACAAATAGGCAACTGAATAGGAGAAAGCAAGTGTAAGAGGCGAAGACTTAAGTGCTGTTTTCTTATGATTGACACACTTCCACGTGTCAAATATAGGTCAGTTTGTTAGCCCATTAATAAAACCTTTTATAGGTGTCCCTGTGTGTGTGCACCTAACCCCAGCTGGTGTGCTGGAGACCCCCTGAGCACCAACCCTAGTCCCCAGCACAGTCGCGGTTCCACTCCAACAAGATCGAAGAAACTAGCACAAACCAGGAGAAACTCGCCCAACGGTAGGCCCAGGTGCGCATTGGTGGGAAAGTGACTGCTTGCCAAAAGAGGATGTTTCATGGCACAGCTAAAGCAGATGGTAAAAACAAAAACTTCAGCTCTCCTTAAAGAACTTAGGGGTAAACAATATCATACTGAAGAGGTGAATATGTTCCCAAGCCAAGGAACAGTGAGTGGTCCACCCTCACAGCCCTGAAGTGCGGCCATCCCCGGCAGCAAACACTCGCACCATCACAGGCCATGCTGAGACAAGCAGCTGACAGAAATGCTACCCAGCATCTTCAACCAGCATGGTGCCAACCGTCTGACTGCTTGAAGAAGACTGGCTGAAGCTCTGCCCAAGTGATCTGTACACGGAAAAGCACCACTCGCTACCGGAGAGGAGGATGATAATAAAGCTCCAGATCTCGTGGAGAATTTTGAGGAGGCTTCCAAGAACAAAGCAAACCAGAGTCAACTTCTAAAGAATATAAAACTTGAGGAAGTTACTGGGAGCTGCTATTCGATATTATGACTGCTTCTTAAAATGTTGTTCATGGATCTGATAAGACATAGATCGCGAATACTTTTAAGCCCAAGCCCCTTGAACACCTCCACTCTTTGCAGATTTTGCTTATACTTACTTCATTCTTTGCTGCTGATTAAGCTGAAGTAGCCTGGAAATAAAGTTTGAAGCAAGGTTAATAAAGTTCTTTGCCTAGCAAAGTAAATAAGTAAAAGTCCAATCTTTCATACCATTTCACCTTAACTTCCAAACAGATCATATCTTAAGTGATTCGAAAGCTTATCTCAGTGGAGTCCTCTGGTTTTAGGACTTTGAAGGGTCCGGACATTTTCAGTCCCTCATCTTACCGATGAGAAAACTGAGGGTCAGAGAGTTTCATCGCTGAACTACAGTGTAGGCTCCTGACTTTCCCCTGGGACCCCCGGGGGAATAAGACTCGGCTCACCCATTTTCTGTATGCAGCCTTTTTATAACTCTCAGTTGCATTTCCTCCTCGGTGCTCACACAGTCCTCTGTATAGATGTCCAGGTACTTCTCACACCTTATACTAGTTCTCTCTCCATGCTTCCCTTGCTCTTCCAAGTGTGATCTGTGGACCACCAGCAGCAGCACCTAGAGCTTGTTAGAACCTCTGGCCCCACTCCAGATCCGTTGAATAAGCTTCTAACAAGATGTTCAGGGGAGTCATACACCACATTAAAGTTTGAGAAGCTCTGCCCTCGACCAGTAGTTCCTCGAGCGCTAGAATCAAGGCCTGGACATCTTTGTATATCCTAGAAAGTAGCTTAGGGTCCAATAAGCTGATCTATGTTGAATAAATGTTTTTAATTGGATGACACAATGCAGTGCTTCATTCTACTCTCCTTGGCCGGCTTTGGAATAAAAGACATTCTGCAGGATTTATTTTCCCCCAACTGGTCTGTGTTGAAATAGTAACCACGGTCTCTGCCCACTGGGGCTCTTGGGGAGCTTTGAGAGCATCAGTGGTATTCACTGGAAACAGATAAGAGCACAGCAATTTCTGACTGAAATTTTCTTCTGACGTGTTTTTGTATTCAAGTTTGTCTTATCCGATTGGGCAACATGTTGCATAAAGCCACTGTGGTCACTTGTTGAGGCCCGGGGCTGAGTTAAAATAAAAAAGCAGTCAGCTACTTGCTTTGGGTTTATGAGGAAAGTTAGTCACTTAGTCTCTCTCCGATCTGTTACCCTCCTTCTTTACCTCTTGATATCTTCCCACTTCTGGTGTTCAGAGACGAGCTTGGCCATCATCCACAAGCCATGTGCAGATTGTTCAGGGGAGTGGTCGATGTGGCTCCAAATTCTAGGGGGGAATATGGTGGTGGTGATGACTTGTTTCTGTCCTGGAACAAAGGCTTCATTGTAAATGTGAAATTTGAAAGAAAAGTAAAACCCTAAACGGCACGCTCTACCCATCACTTACTTTAAGTGGTTCTTCTTTCCTTTTCCTCAGTAGAAATATATCGATGTCTTTGTATGAGACTTAATGGTAATTTCTTATGTAGAAAGTATTGCTTTGCATTTAGTCAGGGTAGACCAAGACTCAGGTGGCATATGATCACTCCCTTCCTATTACTGTTTTAAAGGTAACATAACACAGAAAAGAGAGAAATGTGCATGAATGTGATGCTCAGGTTTGAAAGGTCAGAGGTTTCTAACTTGAACCAGGGTTCACCTTGAAATAAAAAAAATGCCGATCTTCTTTATACATCTTTGTTCAAGTGTATTGTATTATAAATCTTTTGGTGCTAACATGTACTTGTAAAGCAAACTAAATGATCGAAGGCTGTGGCCATAGGGCAGCATCTGAGGCCTATATGGTATTCTACACACTGAATCTGACAGCACTACATATAGGCGCTATCCTGATGATGGATATAATAGCAGTAAGTACAGTTGACCCTTAAACAATGTGGGTTTGATTTGTGTAGGTCCACTTCTCTGCAGATTTTTTGATGAATACAGTATAATACTGTAAATGTATTTTCTCTTCCTTAATTTTTTTTCACTAGCTTACTCTATTGTAAGAATATAGTATATAATACACAGAACATATAAATATGTGTTAATCCACTGTGTTATTAGTAAGGCTTCTGGTCAACAGTAAAGCTATTAGTAGTCAAGTTTTGGGCGAGTCAAAAGTTACACTAGGTGGGGGGCAGCATCCGTAATCCCTACGCGCTGTTCAGGGGTCAATTGTATAAGGAAAAATGTAAACCACGGGACACACAGTAAATAGATGCTCAGAATGTTACACCCTTCCTTCACCCTTATAAAACTCATTTCTATGAGTGAGTTTTTTTAAATTGTGAAAAAGGACACAACATGAGAGCTACCCTCTTAAGTTTTAAATGAGTGCATTTTTATGGGAAAATGTTGCATCCTCTCCCCTCCCCCCACCTCAAATACATGTGAAGAGGGACCTCCCACCTTATCTGAAGGGGCAGAAATCTTTTAAGTGTGGTTGGGTTTGGGTTTTTAAATGCTGCTAGATAGAGCAGCTACTTATTATATATGTCAGGCTCTATGTTAAGCACTTTACATATAAAATCTCATTTGAGGGGCGCCTGGGTGGCTCAGTCATAAAGCGTCTGCCTTCGGCTCAGGTCATGATCCCAGGGTCCTGGGATCGAGCCCCGCATCGGGCTCCCTGCTCTGCGGGAAGCCTGCTTCTCCCTCTCCTGCTCCCCCTGCTTGTGTTCCCTCTCTCGCCGTGTCTCTCTCTGTCAAATAAATAAATAAAAAAGAAAAAATCTCGGGCGCCTGGGTGGCTCAGTTGGTTAAGCGACTGCCTTCGGCTCAGGTCATGCTAGATTGTTTACTTTTTGAGTAATCCAAATAATGTGTACTTTTGTTTTTAAGTCTGGGACCACTTTCTTAAAGAACAAAAACAACATCAAAAACTGAGCAGAAACCTACATGCCAGGTACTTTCATAAAATTAACCTCGGTATATCCCACAATGATTATCACAGGATGTTGAGATAAGCCAACAGATAACTTACCTGTTTGAAGAACTCAATCCTCCACTTTAGCCATTTGATCTCTTGTCAAATAGGACATGATCAGTGGAAACTGGTCTTTGCTTCTGTTCCTCCCCCTGCCTGGAATCCCTTGATCACTCTCCCCCTTTTCCCACTCCCTTACCCCAAATCTTCAAGTTTTGTCCTTCCTTTGGGACTGGCCTGAGTTCTGTATGCTCTGGTAAGCCACTGACCCCTGATCATTTGAACTAGTCATGTCAGAGTGGCGAAGAACAGCAGTGTAGATTTGAGAACCATTATACCCGGGTTTGGTATACATTCTGCTACATATTCCCCATGTAGATCTCCACAGGCTATGTTGTTTTTAGCTTTCTCATCTGTAAAATGAGAATTATGACTGCTTTGCCGTTATTTTGAGTATTCGGTGAAATTAAGTAAAAGGACGAGCCTCAGTGTTAGTTCTTCTCCTTAGTCATACAAAACCTTCGAGTATTACTTTTCTCATGTCTTATTTTTCCAAAATGACACCAAACTCACCGTGGACAGACACCAAGACTTCCATACCTGCCCCCCTGTTGGCCACTTGAGACAAATAAGTACTGTTTGGATGAATACAAATATGAACGTGATTGAGGGGGCTCTACTCCTCTTATAGATGCCACTTAACCAGGACCTTCTCCTGAATAGCTATGAGTATCGAACCTGTGAGCTGAGCACTGCAGGATGGGGTAGGAAGATGGAGAGAACTGTTAGTAGGGGACCAAAAGAAGAAGAACATGCCGGGCCTCGTGTAACACAGTCTTGTAGTAAGCAGCGAGTCAGCCCAGCTACTCCATGATGCCTGTAAGACCCCAGGCTCTCCCTGCTCTGCCATCCTAAACTTGTAGCTTTTTCTTTGCACTGGTAAGATGGCTCTCATCATCAATACCTCTAAGTCTTGTGACTGCATTCTAGGTAGAAAGATTGGAGAAGGTGAATGGCAAAAGGCCAGCTAAGTCTGTCCTTTTTGTCAGAAAAACACTTTCCCAGAAGCCTTACTCAGTAGACATCTACTTACTGTCTCATTTGCCAGAGCTGGATCACATGGCCATCCTACCTTCTAGAGAGGCTGCGGAGGTGAGTATTCTTCCTGGGTACATCATCTCCTTGAAAAATGGAGGTTCTGGCAGTGAAGGTGAAAAGAATGGATATTGGGTAAGCGACTACTAGTGTTTGCCACATGAAGCTTACCATCTGTTTAGTTAGAATACACCATAAACAGATGGGAGGAGAAAAGTTTAAGAACATATCCAAAAGTGGGACGCCTGGGTGGCTCAGTCGGTTAAGCATCTACCTTCAGCTCAGGTCATGATCCCAGGGTCCTGGGATCAAGTCCCATATCGGGCTCTCTGCTCAGCGGGGAGCCTGCTTCTCCCTCTGCCTGCCACTCCCCCTGCTTGTGCGCTTGCTCTCTCTCTCTGACAAATAAATAAAACCTTTTTTAAAACAAAAAAAAACAGAACATATCCAAAAGTAACCCAAAGGTTCTTTCAGAGATATAAAGAATGGGATGAAATAATTTGGGTAAGGTCTCCCAGAAAGTAAATTCCCAAGAAATTTCTGAAGAACTTTAGGAACAAAATTATTACTGTTGTGATTAAAACAACTGGTTCACATATCCCATCAGACATGTAAGATTTATGGATGGACTTGGATGGAGCATAGAAGGGCTGCGACAGTTTTCATGGGCTTCTGTCACATTAAGTCGTGGTGCTTCTATCTTCAGAAAGCTGAATACAGACTCTGAGAACTGATTTAGATGATGGTTCCCAAGAGGAACTACTGCTAAGCCATACATGGTGCAGTTTACTTTCAATATGGAAAATGATGTTTAGTCTCTAACGTTGAGTATTCTCTGGAATCAGACACTTCTTAATCCCTTTCGAAATTTCTGACTTAGGAAATCCAATCTAAAGCGAGAATACAAAGTTCAGGGAAAATTAATGTTTTTCTTAAGTGCATATAGATTCTGGTTTTATACGTAAAAGTGAAAACAGGGATTGTACCATCCAGAATTCCACCAAAGAAACAGAATCATTAGGATACATATATTAAGAATTTTTTAAAGATTTATTTTAGAGAGAGAGTGAGTGGGGGGAAGGACAGAGGGAGAGGGAGACAAGCAGACTCCCCACTGAGTGGGGAGCCCAACGCAGCCCCCAGCCCCAGGACCCTGGGATCATGACCTGAGCCCAACCAAGAGTCAGACACCCAACCGACTGAGCTACCCAGGTGCCCCTAATTTAAGAATTTTATTGCAATGAATTGGCTTAAGTGATTGTGGGGGCTAGCTAGGTCAAGTCCAAAATGCTAAATCTGTAGGGCAGAGTATCAAGAAGGGCAGGATGGAACTCAGGCACAGGTTGATCCTGCCATCCACAGGTGGAATTTCTTCTTCAGGGAAGCTCAATTCTGCTCTTAAAGGCCTTCAACTGATTGAGTCCAGCCCACCCAGATTATCTAGGATAATCTTCCTTACTTCAAGTCAACTGATTATAGACGTGAATCACATCTACAAAATAACCCCAAACTTAGATTAGTATTTGATTGAAAAACTGGGGCCTGCAGCCTAGCCATATTGACATATAAAACTGACCATTACAGTGATGGTTGGTGTTTCATTTTGTTTTCAGTTTCCATCAGTGAACACTTTATTCTTTGTGAAAATAAATCACAAACCCAGACAGGCTTCCAAGAAGAGAGAGAGTCAATATCATCAATCTGTGGCATTGGCATTAATACATATTTGGTCTATGAAGGTCATTAACCATCTGGTAAAAGGAAGCTTCATTGATTACAATTCATCCTTTGGGTGTCTGCTGTTGCCTGATTCCACTAAACTGTTTTCAGTTTATTGGTAGGAAAATTAGTTCTCCAGTTCAAGGGAAGTTTAACACATAAAAAAGGAAGGAAGTATTTCAAGGAACCCGTGTGTATTTCTTCATTTGTAAATCATTTCCTCATGCCACAAATGTTTAATGAGTACAGGGCTAGGTTAGCTGGCTATTTCCACTCTCCCTTGGGATAAAAATGGTGGCTGCCATTACACTTGTAGAAAAATATTACCAAAACTGACTTAAGGATACATTTTTTAAAAACCTAAATAAACAGGGGCGCCTGGGTGGCTCAGTTGGTTAAGCATCAGATTCTTAGTTTCCGGTCAGGTCATGATCTGGGGGTCCTGGGATTGAGCCCCACTCCTGCAGCAGTCTCCCCACTCAGCAGGGAGTCTGCCTCAGGATTCTCTCTCTCCCCCTTGTCCCTCCCCCCCCCAAAAATAAATCTGTTAAAAAATAATAAAACCTAAATAAATAACCATTAAAAATGGTGGATGCTTTAAATACTCAAACCTATACAAGGGTAGAAAGCATTTTGTCTTGAAGTGTACCTACCATCTACTAATGATATGGGGCAAGTTATTTTCTTTCTGAGCCTCAGTTTGCTTACCTGTAAAATGGAAATAATGGAGGTTATTTGAGGTTATCTTGAGGGTTTGGGGGAGGATTAGATGAGGAAATATGTTAAACACTTGGAACACAGCAGGTGCTCTACAACTATTGATTTTCTGCCTCCCTCCATGAATATAGTCTCAATTTGACAGCATTATGTTAGATTATCAATATGCAGCAAAGAATCAAGTGAGGTTACCAGTGCCCATGAACTTGTCACACTGGCTACATACAC